GAGGGGGGGCGGCGGCGGGGCGCGGCACAGGACCCTGGCCGGGGCCGAGGCGGCGGCGACCGCTCTCCACATGACGGCGGCAGCTGAGGCAGAGCCGCCGCGCTCAACGGCAATAACGGCGGCGCGGCCGCCGCCCCCTCCAGGCAGCCTCAATCGAGAGCAGAGCTCCCATCCCCCCTCCCCCAAGCGGCGCGTTGTTCCAGCGGGGCGGGAAAGGCCGCCTCCCTCGGGGCCGTTCCCGCCGCTGCGCCGCCTCGCGCTTCCCCCGCCTCCCCCCCCTCAGCCTTCCCCCGCACCATCAAACCCTCTGGGGAAGGGAGGCGTTGGCAGAGGTTAACGTTTCATTTTAATCCGTTACAAAACACGGAAACCGCGTAAAGACACCTACAGAATTCACACAGAACGCAAACAGCAGCTTGGGTACATCCACTCAGCTTGGGTTTGTAAGGCACTAACGTGTTAAAAACTTATTTCTGGACGACAGCGCAAGCCCCCACAGTGCCCCGTGAGCAATATTCGGTGCGTTTTCTTTCAAACTCGTACCCGGGCACCAAACATTCCTGAGAGAGTGCCCCGCAGCCCCCCGCTCCTCAGAGAGAACCGGCAAGGAAGCCCGGCGGCCTGCAGGGCCTAGCGGGAGAGAGACCAGTGTCCACCACAGCAACACCATGGCCTCACCGCCCCTTCCAGCCTGCCTCCCCACTCACGACAATGGCAGCTCCTGCAAAGCTGCCCGCCTAGCACTCGGTGGTAACGCAAAGTTGCCTCGAGGAGCTGTCATGCCAGCTTCGCAGCCTTGCTATTTTCACCAGCGCTTACAAGCAGGCTGCTGTGGAGGCATTAAGGGAATGTACAGGCAGGGAGAAACTGCCATCCAAGAGTGGTGTGGACCTACACAGGGATATCCAGCCCTGCTGAGGAGATGCCCACGAGCAGTTCCAGGCATGACTACCAACGGGTCCAATTCTGTTGTTTCTTCATGCTTGTGAACTTCCCCAAACCATACAAATGTCTCATTTCTATTGCATGTGCCCAGAATGTCACGTTAGGCTACGGGCTGTTGTTGTCTATAAATGGGAGATGTGTTATCTGAGGATCCAGGCACAGTATTGCTGCTTTTGGCAAGTGAAACATTAGATATTAAGTGTTAAGGCAGATGTATTTCAGCGATGTGGGAGAAGAAGAAAGAGCAAGGAAGGAGAGGGAAGTGCACAGAGTAAACAGAAACATCACCAGAGGCAGGAAGAGAGAACAGCTGCTTCCTGAAAAACTAGAGCACAAAGCTGGCTCTGGTAAGGGCAATAGCGTACAACATGTTTCCTCTGAGAAAGCCACGGCAAATTTTCATCCCAGTTCTCAGCTTGGATGAGTTACCTTCCACTTAAATTCACATTCAAAGCAGACCCAGCCTTACCACCATCATTTTTCCACAGCTTGTAATCCCATACTACACATATTGGGAGGCCAAGACCTCTAACCGAGGTTAGAGGAGTGTGTTAAAAGGAAGCAGCTCTCATGCTCTTGCCCACTACCACCCTCCAAGAAACCCAGTAGCTAATTCCCTGATGTTCTTTGTTCTCATTCAGAGCCATTTAACAAAACAAACTTGAAACACCAACATCTTCATCTGTAAAGTAACCTAACTCACATCACATCTTATTGGATATTCCAGATGGCTTGCCCGAGAGGTGTTTGCGGAAGAAAGCTAGGATCTGCTGCCAAGCATCTATCTGTGCCTCGCAGTGTGCCTTGGGCTCCCCTCCCCACGCCACAGGCATGCCAACTAGCAGGTGCATTGAGGCTGCACACATTGGGAAAAAGGGGGGTTCAATGTAGTGCCCTGCTCGAGGATAACAGACTATCTCAGGCTTTTCCTTCCCATGATCTTGCAAACGTTTGCTCCCCTCAACTGCAAAGAATTCGCTTTTCCAGTTGCGATCATCCTGGCCAACAATGAACAAGAAGCGACACTCGGCCTTCTCCAAAGGGATAAGGCTTTGGCGGTCAGGCCCTTCTAGCGGGTTGCTCAGTACATCCAAAATATCAGCAATCCCAGACTTGTTGACCTTGATGCGTTTTGCACTGAAACTAAGGGGTGGAATGGTGATGTCCTTGTAGCGAAGCACTGCACCCACGTTTGCCACTGAGCCGTTGATAAGGGCGGTGGCCGTGATGCCCTTTAGGAAGGAGGCCATGGAGAGGCACAGGTCACCCCCCTTCGAGATTCCAAGCAACCCAATCCCTGGACCTTTAACCTGGAGGGGAGAGAAGAGAAACCACAAGCAATGAACCACAGCACGCCACTTCTTTAAAATGATGCCATGTTCGCAGCAGTGTCTGTCCTGAATCTGGACCCCAGGTATAGGCATCCAAGGTCCTATGTGCAGGGCCCATGTCTGAGGGAGCCTGGGGCACTGTTCTGTGCTTGATTTATGATCATAAACCCTGCTGAGACTGCAGCATCATCCTAACAAAGCTACAAGGCTCGGTGCCGAAGCATACGCAGAGGGTACAGCGGTGCTTGCAAAAAGCATGCAGACATGCAGCCCCAGATTCCCTTTGCGTATAAGGCAGTTCAGGGAAGAAGAGGGAAGGGGCAGCGGAGGCCTCTTCTACAAATGCTTTCTTTCAGTGCAAAATGCTCAAACTCAGCAATGACTACGATACTGTCATCAGTTATGATAACTTATTTCTTATATTCAACCACTGTCTCTGATTCCCCTATTAAGAAGCTAACATGGGGTAGCAGACACCACATCAGCTGCTATCCTGTTTCTCTAGTATGCTTAGTGTCTAACTCACAGTGAAAAGGAAGTGTTCTGAGGTAGCTTACTCATTAAAATGTATCTTAAAAAAATAACCCATTAAAACCATTTTTCTAAGCAAATTGTACAGTCCTCTGGAGTCAGTCTAGAATAGGTTACCTTCATTTTCTCTTACACAGGCAAATTAACTAGAATAGGAAAGCTAAATGATCTTACAGGGTGCTGAAATCCTCTAAGGATATTGGAAGAAGGTTAGCTAATATCACAACTGCTCCAATATCCAAAGACACTCAGGGTAAAAAGGCTCTGAGACAGCATCAAAATTTAATTTTAATACCTTTTGTACCTTATCACCAGTGTAATAGGCTCCAAACCCACTGACTTTGAAGCATGGAAAGGGGGAAATTAGAAAATATGGCTGAAACTTTGCAACGTGTTAAAAACATGGGAAGGGTATCAGTGGAGGTGTAATGGGAGGCTACGGTACTGCTCTCAGGGGAAAAAAAAGGGGGGGGGGAATTGTCAGAGTTTTTTGGGCAGAGAGGTGGCATGAGCAGTTAGGGTTAGGGCGACTGAAAAGCAAACAAGACCTTTAACAACTACTCAACTTTCTGAAGTTGAGGAAGGTATTTATTTTGAGTTCTCCAGAGAAACCAAGTGTTGCCTTGTGCAATTCTAGTTGTCATGCACAGCTACTTGGAAGGAGATGCAGAACTTAGCAGGGTTCTCTTCCAAGAGGTGTCAATTTAGAAGGATCCCCAAGTTCACAACTAGCTACTAAAACCCACACTCACCAAATACCAACATTTGGAGTGATTTTAAGAGCTTATACAATAGACAGCAACAAATGTGTACTGGTGGACTCCCTTAAGACCTGGATCACAGAAAGTCATCATGTGCTCTGCAGCTGAAAAGGGCATTTAGTTCTGAAGGACATTCTACAGAGCATAAACCTAAAAGCCCCGCTGGAAGTCAAATAAGCCTCCAGGCAACTAGTACCCTAGTTATGACACTGGGTTGAATGGAGCAGAAATTATCAGTATGTGACCTATGTGTCACTGTGTCACCTGGCCAGTTCAAAAGGAAGAACTGGAATAATCTGCCAAAGAACCATTGTAATGGGAGCTAAAGATATAAACCAAATTAATTACAGCCAACTTGAACGGAGATGCTATTTTAAGTACAGCAGCTCTGGCCCATCTGCAGTCTGGCAGGACCTGACTAATTAGAGTTTCCTGTAGTGAGAGAGTGTCAATGAACAAACCAACCTGGGTGTGTTGTAACATATAGTTTACGGCTTCTTCAAAATATTCCAGGTGGAATTCCTTCATGTCTTTGGGGAGGTCTTCATAGCCGTAGAAAGCCAGAGCCAGCACAGCAAAGCCATGGTTGGCCAGCAGGCATGCCCTGTATTCAGGGAGTCCTCCTCCAGTTCCATACAAGTCAATAATTCCTGGAAAGGGGCCACTTCCTGCAAGAGACCACATAATAGGACACATTAACCTGCAATTTTTAATCTGTATTCCAAATTCATAGGCCTGGGAATACGTCTTTTTAAAAAAGAGAAAAACATAGAGCAGCAGAATGATACTAAGGGTCCTAAATTGCTGTGCCAGTTTTCAGTAAATGGCTACATTGCTTCAAGATCAAACAAGACAGCACAAAATAGCAGGCCTCCTTATGTTTTAGATAACATCAGGGAACACATGGCTGGAAGGGAAGGAATCCCTTGACAGTCACAAATAGTTCTCTCCATCATGTAAATTCACTGCAAAGGTATCAAGCTCTGCTTCAAAAATAACCACGAGGCTTCTCCCTAGTGCATTTCTCAGAAGACCGATCCAAAAAATCTCATCTTCTGATGGTTCCAGCTTCTCAGTTTCAGTGTAAATGTACTACTGCCATTTATTCTTGGACAAAGAGAAGAAAACATTTGTAACCAGCCTTGCTAACCTGGTGAGGGAAGCTTTACATTAGGTTCATCATGAGACAGGGACTGAAGTCCAGAGCCTAGAGGGATTGCTGCAAAATGATAACAAAGTATGGAAAGGAGGAGGCCAAGAGGGAGACTCCTACTGCTGCTCAGAAGAGAGGGTAAGGCTTCCCTCAGGTGTTTGCAGGCTAACACACAAAACTTGGGCAACAAACAAGAAAAACTGGAAATTCACCTCCACCCACAGGGCTACAGCGCAGTCAGGGACGTTGGCTGGGACAGCATGTATGATTTTGGCACTATCACGAAAGAGTTACTGGGGACAGGCAGGGAAGAAGGGGCAGAGGGGAAGGCATGTGCTACAAGGAGCCCCCTGAGTACATGGGGTTCTAGGCACATGCTTGCTGAAAGCCTCTGGGTCACAGGCAGAAGGGAGGGTGGGATGGGGGCAGGGGGTTGCTGCTAGAGACTACCCAACCAAGAGGAGGCAAGAGATGAAGCATCCCATAGACAACTAGCAGAACTCTGGACAGCTGCTGGGAGGACAATACAGTGTTTCTAAGGCAATCTGAAAACCTCACAGACCCTCTCGATCATTTTCTGAGAAAAATACCGTAAGGGCAAACTTGTCTAACGCTTACTTGATCTTCTGCTCACAAACAGAGAAGAACCAGAGAAAAACACGGCAGCAAAAGGCAGCTTGGGCTGCAGCAACTATGAAATGATTGAGTTGAGGATCTGGGGAAAGGCTGGGAAGGGAAGCAGCAGGCTCAGGACTCTAGACTTTTGAACAGCAACCTTCAACTAAGTCAGAGGACTACTAGCTGAATTCCCTGGAAAACAGACAGGTAGAGGAAAGGTACCTTGAAGACTAACTGACACCACCTCCCACAGCATTTGGAAATAAAAAGGGTACTGTGATCAATGCCTTCATGTCCAATATGAGTTGATAAAACAAACTCATGTTTGTTTTAACACACGTAGCTGTGCTACGTGAGGAGCGTGGCCAGCGGATCAAGGCCGCTTGGGCTGACCAGGCCACTCCTTGAAGAGCGCCCAGTGCCAGCTGGCGAGGTCCAGCTCCGCCTTGGCCTCTGCCTGGTACCGTGCTCAATGGGAGTACGGAGGGGGTCTGGCTCCGGGCCTGGGAGCACAGGGCCGAAAGCCGAGGCAGCACCCGCGAGGGAAGGAGCCCGGTATGGCCGGTACTCACCGGGCGGCAGGAAAAGCGTCGCACGGATCTTCCCCTCTCGCACGGGGACTCTCCGGACCCCGTCCCGCAGGAACACCCGCTCGTGCTGCGCCTGTGCCAGGAGCTGCCCGGGGGGGTCCCCGTGGCCCTCAAACACCTCCAGCTGCAGGAGGAGAGGGGTCCGCACGTCCCGCTTCACCAGCCGCCAGAAAGGCTTCTGGGGCTGCAAAGCCCAGAGCAGCCCCATGGGCTCCAGGCCGGAGAAGCTGCCTCCCGGCAGCGCGGGGCAGCGGTCGAGGTCCAGCTCCCCGTCGTCCCCCGCTCGGTAGCGGGCGCAGGCCCGGAAGAGCTCGCCGGTCTCGTCCTGCAAGGACGTCCGCAGCGTGACCTGCTGCCGCGGGCCGAGGCCCTGCACGGCGATGGCCAGCGGCTCATCGAAGGGGGTG